TCAATAAGTGTTGAGATTTTTTTTTTGTTAAATAAAAAAATTAGAAAATTAAAATTGATATATTGAAACTCCCACAAGACTTATGAGTTAGAAACCCCTTTTTCCTTATATAATTTTTTATATAAACGATTTGGATAGGATTTTCCAATTGTTTTTTAAATTTTTTATTTAATAAAAAATTATGACAAATTTTTGTAGGGCTTAATAATTACTCTTTTTAGTAGGTTTTTGTTTTTCGTTTTCCTAGAATTTTAAAATTTTGATGTGTTTGGTAATTGTCAAAAGTTTCAAATTTTATTATTGGATGACATAACTTTTTTAAGAACAAATTATGTGGATGGTGCTTTTACTTTGCTTTTTGTTCTTTAGGTTATTTTGGCCGTTCTAATTTTAATTGATTCAATTATGATTCTAAATTTTAAATTATGTCTCAATTTGGTTCAACCAATGACATCTATTGAGATTTTTAAGAAAAATTGGTGAGATTGAGATTTACATGAGTTTGTACCCAAAATAAAGAAATAAGAAAGAGATGTACATACACATATAAGGGAATTTGTTTGGATAGATTAAATAAGGGAGATTATAACACAATAGATTGTTAGTTCTGAGATAAATAATTTAAAAATTATTTGACTGAAAATAATATGTATTTAATTATTAAATCAATTTTTATTTTTTTAACCAAATGATAAATTAATAAATTTATTAAATATAAAATCAAATGTTACACCTCAATCGCATGAAACAAACGCGTGAATTAATGGATGTGGGCTCTACAGGATGTGAATGGGGAACATACAGGCCCAAGAATGATTATGGACCGAAGCTGCAACTTTTTGGGAGCGTTTTGACAACTTGCTAAAAAAGCAAGTTTTTTTGACTTTTTAATTTTTTTTTTTTTAAAAAAAAAATCACAAAAAAATTATAAAAGTTAAAAAATTAATTTTTTTTATCAATTTCTTAAAACACCACTGGGTGCAAGAGGGGGCCTAACTTCGGCAAGTAGGTTGATAAACAATCCAAACCTTACTTTAGCCTCCGTTTGGCAAGAAAAAGCCCAGGCTTTTTTAGCTAAAATAGCCACAAAAAATAAAATAGGCTATTTTAGCCACAAAAAACAAAACATCAAATTCAACCCATAATCATTACAATCCTCTCTCACAAAAAAAGTCAAAAAAGTCAAAAAGTCAAAAAGTCCTTCCCAAACCAGGCTAAAATAGTCCAGGCTAAAATAGCCAAAAAGCCAAAAAGCCAACCCACTTCCCAAAGGCTTAATCATTGAACAATAATCTCCAAAGCACATACCCCACCATGAGCGCTTTGGTTAGAATAGGTGGTGGTGGATGTAACTTAAGTGCTCGTTTGGTTATCATTCTAAGTTAAAAAATCATAAAAAGATTATAAAAAAAAAGTTAAAAAATCATAAAATGATAAAAATCACAAAAGGATAAAAAAAAATTTGCCATTCTAAAGTCAAAAAATTCAAATAAGAAAACCAAACAACCAAAAAAATCCTAGACCAAAATAGTCAGAAAAGTAAAAAAATTAACTAAAAAAGTCATTGTCAAACGACCCCTAATTTAAATTATTCAAGTTGAACTTATATTTTCATTAAAAATTTAAAAAATTTGTTTTAAGATTGGAGTTAATAATACTTTTTAGAAAAATGTTTGGCAGTTCAAATTTGTATAGCCCGAATAGCTTAAATGTATCAAAACGATGTTATTTTACCCTCAAAACGATATCGTTTTGTGACATTCGAGCCATTCGGACCATAAAAATTTGGGCTACTAAGTATTGTTATATAATTTAATTCAAATTTTATTTTAATCGTTATTATTTTAAATTGAATAGTTTGGTCACTATATTTTAAATCTAATTTCAATTTAGTCATTTCGTTCAAATTGAAAACTAAAATTAATAATTTTGAGACACTTATCAACCTCCTAAAATATACATGTAAAAAAATTAATAAAAATTTAAATAAAATAACCAAATTAAAATTAGACTTAAAATATAAAAATTAAATTGTTCAAATTAAAATTATAAAAATTAAAATAAAATTTAACTCAAACTATAAAGATAAAAAAAGTATAATTAAACATATTTGAAAACCCAAGTCAAACTTGCAGATTGATGAAAGTTACATGTACCATTAAAAAAACTAACGAGGCCAAGTTATTTTTACTCGATTTTACTAATGTTCATTTGAGAAAAATAAATAAATAAAATTTGAACATATCTTTAAGTAAAATTTGAATATTCTATTAATCAATTTATCTCAATTTATATATTCAAAAAAAATCAAGAATTTAAATATATGATATAAATTTAAATTTAGTATTATGTAGGCCAAATTTGAATAAATGAGATTTGCTCATTGTAAATTTTCAAATTTTTTTAAGTAACCTTATGTGTGTTTGGTCTGAATTTTTTGGATTAAATTTTTTGAAAATTTAGTTTTTTGTTTTTTATTTTTTTTGTTTCCAGTGAATATTTTAAAAAGTTTAAGCATTTTTTTACTTTTTTAGATGCATTTTACTTAGATGTATCTAAAAAGTAAAAAAATTGTGAAAAAGTATTTAAAAAAATAATAAATACATAAAAATATGAAAAATATACTGAATTCTCGTATTTTTTTTTATATTTTTGGTATTTAGTGAATTTTTAAAAGATTTTTTTCATAAAAATTATACTTTTTATGTGTATTTATATTAGGTGTATTTAAAAATTAAAAAAATGTTTAAAATATTAAAAAGATTTAATAAAAATAAAAAAATATGAAAAATAAGAAAATAAAATTTTCTAAAAAATATTTTTGAAAAACTAAAAATACGCAAAGTGATTGTTAGTGGTGGAAAGACCATTTTCCCATAACATCGATGGATCAAATGTCAGAAAATTTCTATTCACACTCTATTTTAAACTTGTTACATTTTTATACTACATCATTTTGAAAATGCTTATTTAGATTCTTACGGCTTATATTGCAAGAATAATACTTGGGACCTCCTTTTGGGGGTCACCCCTTCACCCCTTTGTCACATGGCGGGTGATGATTGGAGGAGCAGGAAAAAAAAGAAAAAGAAAAAGAAAAAGTAATCAATGAGAGAGAGAGGGGGTCAAAAAGGGTGGGAGGAAAAGGGGAAATGAATCATTGTTGATATTGCAAACCCCTAAGTGAATGTATTATACGATAAAATAATGCTACCATTTGATGTGTCGTTCATACATTGATTTAATAGAACCCCACCTTTTATGCTTTATGTGAATAAATAGATGGCACATTATATAATATTCAATAATGCTACCATATGATGTGTCGCTCATACATTGATTTAATAGAATCCCACTTTTTATGCTTTGTCTCAATAAATAGACTACACATCTACGGCCCTATTGGGTGGAACTTTTTTAATTAGCAGTTAATAATTAGAAAATAGAAATTAAAAGTATTTTTACCTTAATTTTTAAATAATGAATTTTTTTTATTTTATTTACGTTATTTTTGCTTAATAAACTATAACTAGAAATTATAAACAGAAATTACACTAAATAGTCTGGTACGAACTTCCAAATCAAAATAAGTTATAATCACCCCCAAAAACTATAACAAAGAGTCCCTATCTATCTATTTATCTATCTATTTATACTATATATTAAGTAAAAATGAGTTTTTAACCCCTAAGGCCTATAGGAGTTTTAATATCCCAATCTGAATTTTTTAAATTTTTTATTAAAAAAAAAAAACTTAGCATTTATTGATTTAATCAAAATCCCCTGATCAGCATTTATTAATTTTTTTCAATGCACGTGTCTTTTCACATGCCTGCATGTATTAATTTGGTCAAAATTCTCTGATCAGCATTTAAAATCCCCTCATACAAATAATTATAGATATAATCCGTATATAGTTACTGTAGTACCTTTTTCAACTTCTCTTATACACTATGGTTAGTGATAAGATTGTTAAATTATTTTTACAAAAAATCTTGAAAAACATAATTTATATATTAAAAAAAATCTAAAACAAATATAAATATCTATAATTCGAGTGATAGGCTAGTATATTATATAAGGAAAAAAAACTTTTTAGTGAGAAGCCTTCTAGGAGCTCTAAATCCTTATTCTAATTTTCTTGATTTTCTTAATTTTAAATAATTATTTTTATTTGATAATCCCACATTAGGAAAAGAAGAAAAAAAATAAGTTGTTTTACTCATATAAAGAGAATCTTATACTCTCACTCCATTTAGTGAGGAACCTTGTGAGAGTTTCAATATATTATATTAATTTTTTTGATTTTCTTAATTTTAAATAATTAATAAAATCTCTATTGGCTAATTTTTATTTGATAATCTCATATCGCGAAAAGAAGTAAAAAGTGAATTGTTTATATTTGGATGGTTTAAGTTGGAAGCTTTTATCATAGTTTAGGTTGATGGTTCACCAAATTGTACGGTGAAAATATGTCTCTCTAATAGGAGGTCAACCTATATAATTTAAAGGCTTTTTTTTTCTTCATAATTAATGTTATTACTATAATAAAAAGGTTTCGAAATTTGGAAGCCGTCACCCATCTCCCCCAATTGGGTCCATCTTGTTTGCATGACTACAATTAATTATATTTTTAAAACAATATTTTGTTCTAAATATAATGATGCAAGTTAATTCCATGATTATGACCACAAGGATAACAATGTAACAAGGCACATGTCAAAAAGGAGAATAGCTTAATTGATTGATTTTGATTTTTTTTTCAGTTTTTATTAATAACATTTTAAACAAATTAAAGTTCGATTTACTTTGAGCGAGACTATCATTTATAATCATGTAATTTTATTGTATTTAATTTTTAAAAATAAATAATATATATAATTTTAGGAACATTTACATATAAGTCCCATTTTATGAACTTATAATCCATTAAATCCTAGATAAAATTATTTGCTTCTTTAAATCTCATTAATTTTTAATAGGTCAATTTAACTACCAAACCTGAGTTTGGGATAATGGAGAATACGATCAAAGAGTGTGAAGAGCCCGAGATCAAAGGAGAAGACAAATATTGTGCAACTTCATTAGAATCGATGATTGATTTCAGCACTTCAATGCTCGGGAAAACCGCCCACGCAGTCTCCACGGAGGTACAAAAAGAAACTCCGTTGCAGAAGTATAGTATTTCAGGAGTGGAGACGATAGCCGACGGCAAAGCTGTGGTGTGCCATAAGCAGAACTACGAGTATGCTGTATTTTACTGCCACAAAACAGACACCACGAAAGCATATATGGTGTCGATGGCCGGTGCTGACGGCACACAAGCAAAAGCAGTGGCAGTGTGTCATACTGATACATCGGCATGGAATCCGAAGCACTTGGCCTTTCTAGTGCTCAAGGTTAAACCGGGAACTGTTCCGATATGCCATTTCCTTCCGGAGGATCATGTTGTCTGGTTTTCCAACTAGATCTCCGCAAAAACGAATCAGCACTTGTTAGTTCCATCTGTTGGTTTTGTGTAGTTTGGATTGTAATATTTTGAAACTCTACTACTACAGTATCACATGCATGCATGTAATAAACACCCACTTCATTATACATAAGCATATGCATGTATGCATTTTAACAGATTTTTATCAAAATATGGGTCAATCCATTAGTTGAGTCTCTTTTTTTAAATTGAGAATATTCTTACTTTATAATATTTTCAATTTTAATTATGAAAAAAAACTCAATTCAGCAATTTAATGTGTCAAGTTCGCAGAATTATCTTTTTTTTTAATCTCATACTTTTCTCAGAAGCCAAATAGATTGTGATCAAGCAAGAAGAAAACACATACCTCTTAGTTCATACTAGGAAAAAAACTGAGAAATTTCTTAGTTTTGAAAATTGAGAACATTCTTAGTTTTGAAATTGAAAACATTCTCAGTTTTGGGATTAAAGGGCAAAACGTCTTTTTACCTATAAATGAGACTTATTGGTTCAAAATTTTTTTGACAAAACCTAAACTACCACTAAATATGTAGACAAAACTTTTTGGTAATTAATTCATAATTTTATAAATAGATCATATATTTTTATTAAAGATAAATACATTTAAATCACACATGATCATGACTTTAGAATGTATTTTGATTTTTTTTTTTAATATGCATATGAGTTCACAAAAATGATCGAGTATGATAAATTCACCAACCTAAACTAATGTCTCTTTAATTTTCATTGACTAGCTTCTATTTACTTTTTATTTTACAATCCCACATCAAAAGAAGAAAGAAAAAGTGAATTATTTCACTTACATAAAGTGAATCTTATACTCCCATTTATATAAGTAAAAAGAGATTTTTAGTGAAAAGTCCTATGATCAATATCTCATACTCATCTTTTTGATTTTCTTAATTTTAAAGAATTAAGAAAATCTCCATTGGCTAGTTTCCATTTAACTTTTATTTTACAATCCTACATAATTTTGATTTTAAAAATAATTTTGTATGAGATTTTGAAACTCTCATAGTAGTTAACTTTAAAATAATTACAATCTCACATCGAGAAAACAAAGAAAAAGTGAATTGTTTTACTTATATAAAGTGTTACAATCCCACATCGGGAAAAAAAAAGATACAGTAAATTGTTTCACTTATATAAAATAAATCTTATAAAGGAGTTTTAAAGGAGAAGCCTTTTAGAAGATGCAAACCCTCAGTATAAAATTATAAAATTTTCTTAGTTTTAAACAATTAAGAAAATTCTCATCAGTTAGCTTCCATTTATCTTTTATTTTACAATCCCAAATCGAGAAAAAAAAGAAAGAAAATGAATTGTTTTATTTACATAAAGTGAATCTTATGATCCAATATATATATATATATATATTATTGAAATTTCTTAATTTTAAACAATTAAGAAAATTCTCATTGGTTAGCTTTCATTTAACTTTTATTTTATAATCTCACTTTGAAAAAAGAAGAAAAAAGTGAATTATTTCACTTATATAAAGTAAATCTTATGCTTTCATTTATATAAGTAAAAAAAGATTTTTAGTGAGAAGCCTTATAATCAATATAGCGATTCCGATTTTTAACCCATCTCTTGTTGTATTTCGGACTCGGGTTGTATGGGTTAAAAAGTTATTCATATCTTGTTTCTCTTGTCTCCCTTCTATTTTTGGTTATCGGGTTGTAATTGTGCGTTTGGAATAGGTTGGTTGCTTCTTTTTCAAAACCTGTGTTGCCCAGATTTTGGCCTCTCCACTCGAGTGGGCATTCTCACGCTCGAGCAGGTTTCAAAAATTTTACTCCTCCGCTCGAGCGGGAATCTACAACTCTCAGCATTTTTTTTGTAGGCCTGCAGATGCTGGGAGAATGCATTGGACGCTCGAGTGTCCAGTTTCACGCTCGAGCGGGAGTCTGCGTCTGACGCTCGAGCGGGGCTTTCCACGCTTGAGCGGACTGCGTGTATTTCAGTCTGAGAAGATGACATGTTGAATCATTTTTTCATTAATTTCTCTCTCTAAAACTTTCCAAATTGCTTGTTCTTGAGTTTCTCTCTCTACATTTCACCTTCTCTCTTGGATCTCACCTAGATCCATCAATCTTTGCACCCTAGTGCCTTTGAGAAAAAGGTAGAGTTCGTCAAGATCTTCGTTTTGATCCAATTGAAAGTGAGTTTCGTTGTTGTTAGAGTTTCCCTTTTGTTGGACTCATCTTCTTCTTTTGAGGTAGGGATCTTTCTACACTTTATATGGTATTTAGTTTAGTTATAGCCTCTTGTGTAACAATGGAGTAATCTGGGGAGGTTTTAAACAAACCTAGGGTTTGGACATAAAATGGAAAGAGGGGTTTTGGGTGAAGGCGAAATAAATATTTGAGGGGTTTGAAAATGATGTCGTATTGTATAAAATTTGGGGTAAATTACATTAACAGTCCCTATAATTTGGACTTTGTGTCACTTTGGTCCTTGACCTTTCAATTGTGATACATTTGACCCTAAATTTTGAATCTTGTTCCAAAGAAAGACAATTGAAGATACCATTGCTCAATTTCAAGGATAAAGTCATCAATTTGATAAAATACAAATTAATTTGACAAAAATAAATGTCAAAAAAATATTTTTGAATTTTTAAAAATTATTTCTACCTACTAAAAATAAAATTATGTAAAATTGATAAATCTTTTAGACATTTTTTTTACCAAATTAATTTTTATTATGTATTTAGATGATAATCATGTAATGGGTGGTTGTTTTGTTTTCATTAAATTAGTTTCTATTTTTTCAAAAGTCAAATATGGCGGCAATTTTGATATCATTATTAAACCAAGTTATTAAATCAAAAAATTCAAAACTAAAAACATTTCATATATTAAATATATCGATTACACATTAAAAGCCTAACAACTACCCATTACATGATCATCATCCAAACACATAATAAAAATTAATTTGGTAAAATAAATAAATGTCTAAAAGATTTATCAATTTTACATAATTTTATCAAAGTTGATAGAAAATATTTTTAAAAATTTGAAAATATTTTTTTGACATTTATTTTTGTCAAATTAGTTTATGTTTTATTGAATTGACGACTTTGCCTTTGAAATTGAGTAATGGTATTTTTAATTGTCCTTATTTAAACAAGATTCAAAAGTTAGGGTCAAATGTGTCACAATTGAAAAGTGAAGGACCAAAGTGACACGAGTCTCAAACTATAAGAATTATTAGTGTAATTAGCCCTAAAATTTGATGATTTTGGCACTTGACTTATACTTGGCAAAAAGAGGAGATTTTGTCCAAATTGAATCTAATTATTATTATATATAAATAATGAAAATTGACATTGAAAATGTGAAATTGAGAGGGTTTTGATATGAATGGTGAAATTGGTTATGTGTTATTTCATTCTTTGGTAGTTTCGAATAAACTATCTATTATGAGATTTTATATCTGTTTAGAAATAATTGTATTGGGCTATCGGTGGAGGATAGTTATGATTGTTGTAGAAAATGCATGCGGATTAGGTGAATTGGAACTAATTACTTGTGCTTGTCATTGAACATGACTATATATATGTACATTGTATATGTATGATTATTTGGGAGTGGAAAGAGGATATACTCCATAGTTTGAATTTGTGTTTAAATACATTGCATATTATGAATGATTGTTTGGGAGGAGAAAATGGATGGACTCCATTATAATTAAGTTAACTGGAGTGTCCTGGGTGAAAGTCTTGAAATTATACATGGGTGCCTAGCCCGCGGATGAAATATCCGTAAAATGAAAATTGTAGTGCTTGTATAGTCTACTTTTACATGAGTCCAGTTTGACGGCTGCCCGTGGACGAAATATCCATAAAAGAATACATAAGTCCCGGTTGACGGCTGCCCGCGGATGAAATATCTGTGAAAGAAAATTTTGAAGTGCTTGCATGTTAATAATGCGATTTAGAATTTGTGAGTTTCAGTCTCAATTCGTTTGTTGAGAAATAATGAAATTGACTCATGAAATAACACATAAGTGAATGGAATATGAATTGAGAGTGAATGGATAAAGGCTTGTGATTGATACCTTATGAGTATTTAATGTTGAGAAAAGTTTTACCACATGCATTGTTTATGTACTTGTACTTATACCTTTACTCATATACTGTGTTAGATGATTTCTACTGGGCTGTGGCTCACCCTAGTTAGGAATAACATTTTCAAGTAATGATGACATGCCTCCTCTAAGGCAATAGCATGGGAGTGATCTTTGGGAAGCAAGAGCTTCATGTTTTGTTATGTTTTTTTTTATTTTGTATAGCCCAGGGCTAAATATGTAAAGAGCGAAACTCATTTTTGTTGTAACCAAGTTAAGGCTTAGAAAGATGAAAGGCAATGGGGTATTCATTTATATTAAACTCTTTTGTATCTTTAACCTCGTGCAATGACAGGACTGAGACTCTGATTTATGATATCATCTATATATTTGTGGATGTATTTATGTTATTTTTTTGGAGGCGTTACAATCAATACCAATTTTTTTTGTTTGTGTGTTTAAAAACACATATACAATACTCCTAGCATATCACCCGTGCTATGTGAAGGTACTTTTGTAAATACAATTTTAATCTGCAATCCAATGAGTATATCCATTTAACTTTTATTTTACAATCTCACATCAGGGGAAAAAAAAAAAAGTGAATTGTTTCACTTATATAAAGTGAATCTTATACTTTTATTCATATAAGCAAAAGAAGATTTTTAGTAAGAAGCCCTATAATCAATACTAGTTTTGTTTTTATTTTCTTAACTCCATTGGTTACCTTCTATTTAACTTTTATTGTACAATCTCACATAGACGTTTTGATTTTAAAAATAATTTTGTATGAGTTTTTAAAACTCTCATAATATTTAACTTTAAAATAATTATAGTCCACATCGAGAAAAATAAAAATAAAAAGTGAGTTGTTTCACTTATATAAAGTGAATCTTAT